AGTCCAACCCTATAAGCATCACTCACAGATTCATTTGATGAAAACATTGATTTGTACCTATAACATTCATCATTAATTTCATCTTCTTTTAAATCTAAGAAAGGTAAAATCATTTTACGCAAACTTTTTACTATTTCACAATCAAGATGCAGTTGAGTGATGTTATTGTAAAGATGTTTCACAATGAGACAAAAGATATTTCTTTGTTTCAGTACAACTCTATTGTCCCTTTTAAGATTTATTACATTATCATTGAACTTAACGACATCTAATTCCAAGGCTTCTATTTTCATTATTCTGTCTTCATTCTTAGATGTAATCCTGCTAAGAGAATCCTCAAGATTAGAATTTCTTATGCAAGCTCTCTTTAAACTATCACTAAGATCAAAAACAGTTTCATGTAAATCTATCACGGGAAGTAGGTATGTTAAGAGAATTAAGAATAGAGTGTACCTTATCAATTACATTTTTCCATTCTGTGACATGCTCCTTCACTGTCTTCATCGTCTTCGTAGAAAAACATGCGTCTAAAACATTTCCTTCATCTGTGAAGTAACACTGACTTTCTGAACTTGCACTATTGACCACGAAACATCAGCCTCCTCTCTTCTTTTCATCCTTCACCATAAAGAAATATCCATGAGTTGGCATGTGAACTTCTTCGTCCTTCGAGCCAGTCGACCAAAATTCCACGTTCCCATCATCACTATTGTCCTCTGTAACCACCAAAGCTGGCTTGCTAGAATTCTTGCGAAGTTCTTCAAGCATCTTTACGTAATAAGCTTCATCCTTATTATTTTATTTCTTCTCATACATCTTTTGTAACATGCATTCTTTGGCGAAATGATTCTTTCTATGACAATAATTAATATCAAAGCCTAGATCACCAATAAGCTTATTCTCATTGTTTTCATCATTTCTTTGAGAGTTTTTGAAACTTCTATTTCTTGATCTTTCTGAATTTGAACCTCCTTGCTTGTGATTATTTCCAGCAAATTCATTCTTTTTATTTTTGAAATGTGAATTTTTTTTAAAGAATTTCTTTGGATGTGTCACCATCAGAACTTTATCTTTTTTTGTGAGATCTTCATCTGAAATATCAGGATCAGAATCTTCCATAACAAATTTTGACTTCTTTTGCTTTGGACTTTCACTTTTTGTCACCAAGGCCAAAGAACCAACACTTGTACCAAATTTTCTTCTTTTAGTATTTCATCTTCAAGGACTTTAATATACTAACAATTAGTGCATAAGAGTAATTCTTGAATTGTTCATATGCTTTGACAGTAGAAACAATTGTCTTACACTCTGATCTCAGAATATTCATGAATGTGACCTTTTGTGTAATAGATTCCCTCTTCAACCCATGTTTCAACATACAAATTAAAAGATGATTAAACTAATTTACAGTTTTTACAATTGTTTTGTCAGACTTTTGCTCAAAAGATACATATTCAAACAGAAGTGATGTTTGCAAAGAAGTAGTGAGATCGGCCTCTTCAGAATACAATTATTTCAATATATTCCATATCCTGTCTGTAGATTCAGGAGAGCTAATCAAACGAAAAGTATCAGGAGTAAGAGCAAACCTTATGATACTCAAGTCTTTCAAGTTGCTAGGTAATTTATCTTTTTTCCACGGAATCAATTTGTTTATCTTCAACAATGATAGTCACATAATCATTTTTAGTTAGAACTTCCTCCTTTGTATTATTATACTTGTGCGTTCCATTTTTGATTGCTTTCCAGATGCAAGATCCATAAGTTTCAATCCCTAGAACATAGTCTTAAAAGTGAAGAGCCCAAACTTCATAGTCTTCGGGAAATAAAATTGGAATTCTCATTGTGGAACCAATACTACTTGGAAGATTGAATGTGACGGAGTGTGAATCATCATTCGACATTTTGAGTAAGATTTGATGTGAATCAGATCAACGAACTTGAAAAGGAGTAGACAAAACGACTCAAACAGAGAATTAAATATCAATTTACTAAATGCGGAACAGATCTGAAATTCGATGAATAGATCTGGAAGAATACAATGCACAGGAAGAATAGATCTGAAAAAGCTCAAATAATCTCCCGCTATGATACCAATTGATGGAACGATTAGATTTTCAAATCAAACAACGATATGATTCACAAGAACACATGATGTAAATAAGATGGTCCATCTTGCGCCATGATGGTGCAACAGGTGTATGGATGGCGCAATAGGCTTTAAATGTGAAGCAAGAACTTCTAGGTTGGAGCAACATCACAATCTTGGCGCGACAAGAGCATGCATCGCACAACAAGGCTATGCTTGGCTCAACAACATGCTCCACTATGCAACAGGAGTACCCCATGGCGCAATAGGGAGTAACTTGTCACAAGAAGGAATTCCATTGGCGCAACAACATCCTTCTTGGCCCTACCCTTTATCAGATGGTGCAACAAGGTCTCCTTGTTTCTCCATATCACTCCCAAGTGCTCCAAACCTCTTATAGGTGCTCCAACCCCCTTTTATATGACCCGTTCCTTTGGCACTTGATCCACTCCTTTGTAAGACGATCCATTCCCTTCACAGATGATCTGTTCCTTTGTCACATGCTCCACGAACCCCAAGTGCTCCAAATGCTCCATGAACATGATCCAAATGCTCTACAAGAATGCTCCAAATGCTTGAGTCACATTTAATAATATTAGCATGCAATTCTAAAAGCTCACACAATCAGGCAAATAAAGGCATCTCTCCTAACATGCAATCCTTAGCAGATCCTTAGCCTTAATCTAGCATGCAATTCTCATAACATATAACATAACAAAAATGTATGGGTATTTTAGAAATCTTTTAATTGAGCTCGACTGATTGCACATACCACACCACTTTCTTTTATTAAAAAATCTTTTAATAAAACATTTCTTTTTTATGAAAAATCTACCAAACTCTCATTTTGAGTTCAGACATACCCAAGAGTATACTCAAATACCTCAAACCAAGACTCTAATATTAACTTGTAATGTCCCAAAACTCAGAACCAATTTATATATATATATATATATATATATATATATATATATATATATATATATATATATATATATAAAATAAACCACCTACCAAACATGTTCCTTAAAAACCATAAGAAAATCAGAGTATATCAATAATCATCCAAAAATACATCAGACTCAATAAAGTGGAAAATCATGTTGTGTTCAATGCGATCATCCCGAGGTTTTCCCTTTTGAACTAGAGGTACCTAAACATAAACTAAAAACCGTAAGCACAAAGCTTAGTAAGTTCCTCAAAATACCGCATACCATACATATACGTCAGCTCAAGGCTGTATCGGGTCTATTTTACCCCCGAGTCTATTTCAACTTATATGTCAGTACAAGGCTGTACCGGGTCTATTTCACACCCGAGTCTATTTCAACTCATATTTTTGTACAAGGTTGTATCGGGACTATTTCATCCCACATACATATAACAAACATGAACACAAGTATAAATGCATACATCAGGAGTCACAAAGACTACAAGCACATACAATCCCTAGTGTCCAATAGTATAGTGAGTAAACTCATCTTAATCCGCGACAATCAAATAGATGCTCGAGCTATTGGACCAGAGAATCCCCGCGCTAACCAATCAAATAAAACCATAATCAATAATTGGGTTTAAACTATAATTGGGACTTTAGTTTAATAATCCTGACTCCTAGGGTAAAAGACCATTTTAACTTTCCCTTCAATTGGCCCAATTAACCATGGCCCAAACTCAATGGCACTTAACGCCCAATAATGTCCCAAATCCAAAAGACACTTAAGGCCTAATATGAGCCTAATTCTATAAAGGCCCAAGGCCTAACAATGGCCCAACTCAACAATACGTGTGGCCTAACAAGAGTCTAAAACCCTAGAGTCCAAAAGTGGCCCAAAAGAATTCTCATGTAAATAAGGATGAAAACCCCACCGCTCCGTGGGGTGCTGAGTGGTGTCCTCCCCTCCCTAATACCTAATACATAGTTCCGTCTATGGAGCCTAAAGCTTCAACCATGGCATAGCAGTAAGCAAAAGCCCAAATGGCTCCTGGTTGAGTACGCTCAATGTACCACTTGGGTACAAGGAAGTATGCCCAATGTACTGGTCCATGAGCCAATCATTCTTGAATGGATTAATCCCTTAAGACCTTCCCGTCTAAACTTCAAATCTACTCTAAAATGAAGTCTTAATCCATAAAGTTGGTGTTCATTTCATGAGGATAACATACACCAAGCGTACTAAATTGACCCATAATCCTCCTAACTTCCAAAGACCATAACTTCTTCGTTTCAACTCCATTTTCGATGATCTTTATATCCACAGAAATTTAAAGAATAACTCTACAATCCTATCTAATTACTTTTGAATTAAAATATATCGAACTAAAATCCTTAATTTAAATAAAAGGCCTGAAACATCACTTTTACCATTATGCCTTTGGGCTTCACAACACAAACCGAACTCCTAGATCACATAATCTTTATTACACACTTCCAAATGGGCCTAAAACTCTCTTTCACAAAGCCCAAAGACTTATGATACTTGATCTTTGGGTCACGACCTCAAATTATGAAACCATTCGAAACATGGTGTTACATTTACCTTTAACCTTAATTAAATTTTATTTTTCCAACACTACATCATTTTTGTCATTTTATAAACATAAATTAATCCAATCATCTTTTTTTTATAAACTCGTAAGCTCTTATGCTTCAACCCAAAAGGATAAACTTATAATTTTTATTTGTCAATTTATTTTTGAAACTTACATTTTAAAAACTACCGTATAACCCTTTTACTTTTATCGCCTTTACAAAATACTCTCGCTCTACAGAAAAGAAAAGGTGAGTTGGGGGAAGAAAGTCTTGTGTTTTTTCCCTTTTTAAATTCGATAGAGAGGAGTCTACAAAACCTCCTCATGTTCGAGTAGACAGGCTGAAGCTTCCGAGATCAATTTCAGGCAACAACAGATCATGAATGCAAGCAAAGTTGAAGAAGATCTCTTTCATCATCACCTTGACTCAATCGGCGATCCACAGCCGTTGATTTTAGATCGCCATGACTCAATCGGCGATTCTCAGCCGTCGATTTTAGATCACCATGACCACCAGGAGGAGCAACAGCCGCCGTCTGAGTTTTCTCTGCCTCCAATGTCGGAATTCGACTTCTTTCGTGATGAAGATGAGGATGATTCCATCAGCCATACCTCTTCTGACGCAGAAGGTGTTCAATCTTTTACCAACGATGCTATTTCGTCTGATAAAACAAACCCTAGGTTTCAATACATTAACCCGGAGCCTCATATATCGTCTCAGTTCTACACATTTAACGTCGAGTCTCACTCCTTGATGATCCGGTGTATCCTAGAAGGCCGTCTCGCGACTCCCGATGAGATCAGACTGGCGACGCCACTCCCCGTGCTCACTAGCTGGCGGTCGGTGTGGAAGGACCGTAACGAGGACACAGCGTACCTGACGGCTTGGAAGCGGATTCAGGAAAAGCTTGCAGTTCACGTCGGCGAACAAGGTAACGAATTCCTATGCTTCAAGAACAATTCGAATAATCAATTCGTTTCGCACATTAGTCAGTGGCAAGAAATAGTCATGAGCTTTCATGGTGACGGTGATCTAAAACACCTAGGGTTAAAGGAGACGATCGAGAGAATCAAACAAGTTTGGACTGTAGGAGCTAAATTCTACGGAATACCTGAATCGTACATTAGGGTTTGTGTAGCTGCCTGTCCTGTTTGTCTCGATCCAAGTGGCTCAGCAGGGGCACGTTCTAAAAGGCGTAGGTTTGAATACACAGAATCATTCGATGTCCCAGCAAAAGAGGTGCCAAACAAGCTGCAACAATTGGCAGCTAAACACAAGGTTGTTTTGTGTATTAGGCAAAAGTATATTAGGTATAAACCTTTCATGGCAGAGGTTAAAGATTATGCATGTCATCGAGCAGGGGAACCTGCATCTTCCTCAAAGAAGTCAAGAAACTTGAAAAGAGAAGCTTATGCTTCAAAACGATGCGGATGTAGATTTCGAATAAGAGCAATTGTCCCTATTTCAAATTACAACGAAAAAGACAAAACTTTTGTTTATCAAGAAGAAGGAATAGCTGTGTTTAAGCTGTATGCAGTGCATTCAGGACATGAACCAGGGCCATTAGATGGGAATGCAAGAATAATGCACAGAATTGTTGGGCATAAAGGAGGGTTATTAATGGAACAAGACATGGTTTATGGAATGAGTGAAGAAGAGAGTTTTTCATTCATGGGGAAAGATGATGGTGATATGCAAAGATCCGTGTTGCAGCAAGTTAAAGAATTGAGAAATGAAGTCGGGTTGCTGGAAGGGAAAATGACAAAAATACCCCCTGAGCTGCTAGGTTCAGTTTCACAAGAACTGTTTGATCTGTTGAATAAAGTTAGAAGTGTAGGGGGATATGAGGAGTCAAAATCAGGAGGAGGAGGAGGTTTGGTTTGTGAGAAGCTGCAGTCTGGTGTGTTGGTGGGAGTGGGAGAGAATGATTTAGGAGATTGGAGCCATCATCAAAGGATTTATGGTGATGCAAAAGATGCAGCAGATTTAATTGAAGATGATGATGACAGTTTTGGCCAAACACTTGGAGATGTTGCTTCTTGTTCTTGGGATGAAAAGGATCTTTTATGTAAACCTGAAAAATGGCTGAAATGCAGCAGCAGCAGCTGCTTTGATGAAAAAACTATTACACTCAGCGACTCCAAATTAATAAAGCCCAATATGAATATGAATATGGAGACAGATAGCCTTGTATCTCTACAAGTTGACAGTTTCTACCCTGAGAATCCTAGCAAATGGTATGAATGAATAATCATAATCATAATAATAATAATACAGAGGGGATTGGAATTAGTGCACACTAACTTACTTAATCCTGAGTTTCACCTTTTTTGGTTTGTGAGAGTGACTAATGTATACTAATGAGTTGTATATTTGTGTACAAAGAATCCATCCATGCAACTGCAACATTGTAATCTGTAACTGTAAAGTATATAGCCATTACATTAGGCCTGCCTTTTTTGCACATACATAATCATATCTTGTCAATCCATCCATAAATTTTATAACTTTCTTTTTCTTCATTCTACTTTTCCTCATATTTTGTAATATAATGCTTAAATTCTCTTGTTTGGTTTATGGAGGCTTACATTTTTAAATCAACAATGGTTTTGATGTTGAATAAGCAACAGAATAGTGAAGAGAAAACAAAATAACATTAAATGTAAAAAAAAAAAAAAGAAGAAACTAGCATATATTATGGGGGGAAGATTAGGGAAAGAAGCTGTTTTCTTACACTTTGTTGAGCAATGTTGCTTTGTTTGTGAGCTTAATGGATGAGTAGTAGTACCTTGTGTTGAATCAAGCAAAATAAGTGGAATTCCAATAGCTTCATGCCTGATCCAACTTCATAAAAACATTACACCATGATAATTGATATATGCATGGGTGTTAAAAACCATCAAACGGAAACTTAAATTGAACAAAAAATAGATAAAAAATAATTAATCGAACTAAACTATCTAAAAGAATATAAAATCACAATTTATATTAAACTATGAATTAAAATGTTCCAAAATATGGATAAAATGGGAGTGAGACCATTGAACTTGTACATGTCCACAAAATGTTTGGTAGAGGTGCACAAAAAAAAAAATATCCGATTCTATTTTTTTATCTTAGTTATCTTCTTATCCATATAAAATGATGATATTTGTTATATTTGAATAAAATTAATGATATTTTAATATATTTATCATCATTAAAAATATATAGAAAGATATATAGGAAGGAAAGTAAAAGAATATTTAATTTCTCAAAAATAAATAAATTAAAAAAAAATGCCTTTAGCCCGTCAACTAAGCCTAGGGAAGGGTCGACTTGGCTAGCAGGCCCTTGGCCCAGTCTACCGTTAAAACCCAAGGGTCTGTCTGGGCTGCCCATGGCCCAGTCTCCCGAGCATTTTTGTGCATTTTCTTTTTTCGTTTCTCGTTTGTTTTAGTGCTGAAATGGATCATATGCACGCCATACCTTTAAATACCAGCCCGTTAAAACCCATAGTGCGTCTCATATACCAATTTGTATGTTGAAATGGATCATCATATGGGCAAGATTTTCTATTAATGAAATCTAAAAATCTATGCATGTAACTACCAACTTAACGTTTAATAATTTATTCACACATCTTTAATGCTAAAAAGGAGACACTATTGAACGAATACAAAAAAATTATAAAAATTAACAATTACAAATGTATGCCACTCTTAACAACGATTATGTTGTGTATCTAAATAATTTATACGGTTTTCAAACAAATTTTAAAAATGGTCCATGTGGTTTCTCAAATATTACGAATTCAGTCCTTCTATACTTGAAAAGATGAAAACGTCCTTACAGATTTAGTCTCTAACGACGTTTTACTAACGGTGTTAGTAAAAAGGGTCAACTTTGCAAGTTTCGCAAACCACAAGGACCATTTGCATCAAAAAAAATTAATAGGGATAGACTTTGTGACTTTTGGTAAACAGAGACTATTTTTGTAATTTTTTCTATATATATATATATATATATATATATATTATATATATATATATATATATATATATATATATATATATATATATATATATATATATATATAAGAACCCCTAAGAACCATTTCATTAAGGGTATTTTTGTCAAATACATTCATAACATTACACCCATTAAACATTAGATACACTAAAAAAAAAAACTTTTAAACTCCCTCAAACTTCTACAAAACTCTCATGAATCTTCAAGAACTCATAAACTTCAACACCACCGACTGCCACCACCTACCTCCGCCACACACCACCGCAAGCATCTAGAATTGTTGCCTCTCTCAAATGTTGCAGCTCTACCACCACCTTAGATTGCTGACCAAACTCACCAACACCATCTCTAAGCTCTCATATTCGAAGCTTGACGTCATCCGCTACCTACCATCGTTGTATGACTTCTCCGACTGAACAGTAGCGCCGCTACAGACAACCTCCGATCGTCTCCTCCAGAATCTTACACAATCGGCGCTGCTCAACGTCAACCACTAGATCCCACATTCCGTCGTCCAGATCTTACATTCCATCCTCCAGATCTGCAATCTTCGGTTCAGATCTATGATTTCTGCTACTACCGACGTTCAGATCTGAGAGCTCTGGTACAAATCTATGATCTCCATTGCATTAGATATTCCAGATCTGTGATATTCCGATCATCGTTGCATTAGATCTTCTAGATCTATGATTTTCGTGACCTCATTTTACTCCTCTCGCATCTTCACCGCCACAAACACCACCAGAAACACCTCTAGGTATCATATTTGTTCCACCAGCTGTCAACTTCTCATCCTTCCGCTTAAGCTTCACCACAGTCGTCATTTTCTCCTCCAAACACCACCTTCACATTGCTTCAGATCTGTTTTCATTATGATCTATACTATTACAAGCTCAGATCCGACAACCGACTACACCGGAGCAAATCTGAATCCAAAAAAGTTTTTTTGTGGTCAGATTTATCAAGAAATAACAAAAACTCGTCTTCTTTGGTGGCTGGTGGTGGTTCCACCGTCTTATGATGTTTTATGGTAAGATCTGGTTCTTTTAATAAGAACTCATCTTCTGTTGGCGCCTTCCTTCTTTGCTCTCTTTCTTTTTGATTTATGAAAAATAATTTCTAAAAACAACATGCACACAAGCTGTTTGATGAAATGTCTTAATGAAAACTGAAAAGATCTATGTTTTAAGCTGTAAATACTATGAATGTGTATTTGAACTAGTCTGTTAAGTTGTGTATGCATGTGTGAAATAATCTTTTAATTTATGATTGAATGTGAACTAATTTTTTTAATTATGAAATATAAACAAAATAATATACTAAACTATGATTTTTTTTTAAATCTATATATGATTATTGTAGCATTGTAAGAGCTTCATATTTGATGAAATATGTATTAAATTGTGAATATATTGAATTAAATGTGAATATACTACATTAAGTTGTGAATTTTGTAAATTAAACTATAAATAGACTGAATTAAACTTTGAATTTGATATGATAATTGTGATTTGTATATAATTTTTATGTTAAATTGCGTACGAATGAATTAAATGTTCAAATAATATTGTAGGTTTTTACTTCTATCATCTATGATGTTGTTGGTCGTAAAAAAAATTGTAAATAGACTAAATTAAATTGTGAATAGACAGAATAAAACTGTGATACTATATTAATTTGTGTATAATACACAACTTAATTTGTGAAATTATAATATTAAATGGTGAATTTTGTATATTAAATTGTGAATTCACTGTATTAATTTGTGAATCAACTGTATTAAATTGTGAATTCAGTGTATTAAGTTGGAAACTAACTGTATTAAGTTTTGGGAAAACTACAATAAAGTCCCTACATATTGGCCTTATAATCGATTTAGTCCCTATATATTTTTTTTATTCAATTAAGTCCCAAATACCGGTAATCGTATTCAATTTAATCCTTTGACCCGGTCAACAGGTCATCCAACTTTCAAAAATTACATTTTTGGCCCAGATTTCAAAATTTATTACAAATTTGATCCAAAATTTACACTTTTGGCCCGGATTTTAATTTTTTTTTACAAATTTGGTCTAAACTTTACCTTTTTTGCCCAAATTTTAGAATTTTATTATGCATTCATCCTAATTTTAGTTTTTTTGCAACTTTTTTTTTCAAAAAATTGTTTCTAATATGTTTTTTCTTTATAAAATCATATTTATACCAAAAAAAAAATGTATTTTCACATAAAAATCTTATATTTTCTATATAAAACTTTTTTTAAAAAGTTTTTTGTATATGAAATATCTAGTTATAAAAATATGTATTTATTTAGTATATAAATATATATAAATTTGTTTTTATAAAAAAATGTACACACACCTATCACCTTTATATATATATATATATATATGCACACAAATAGGTGTGTATCTATATTTTTTTTATTAAATCGTGTTCGTATATGAAATATTCAGTTATAAAAAAACTTTCTTCAAAAAGTTTTTTGTATATGAAATATTTAGTTATAAAAATAAGTATTTATTAAGTATATAAATATATAGAAATTCGTTTTTATGAAAAAAAATGTATACAAACACCTATTTTATCTATTTTTTTTATAAAATCGTTTTTGTTTATATTTTTTTATAAAAACATGTTTGAATATTTTTTTTATATAATACGTGTTTGTATACATTTTATAAAATGTATACAAACACGATTTTATAAAATATATACAAACACGTATTATATAAAAACTTATTTAAACACGTTTTTATAAAATGTATACGAACACGTATTATATAAAAAAGACAAAATTGCAAAAATGGTCCCTGTGGTTTGCATTTTTTCAGGAAAAAAGTCCAAACCACGAGTTTTTTGGTTTTGTGGTCCTTTTGGACTGGTTTGTTTGTGAGAATGGTCCCTATACTTAACACCCGTTAAATTCCATCCGTTAACCCCCTCATGTGCCTTGCACGTGAGGGTATTTCTGTCCTTTTACTTATAGGGACAACACTTCCTTCTACCTTTTATCCCTCATTTACAATCCCAAACACCCGTCAACTCCCCACCTCCCTCCTTCTTCCTTCTGCTCCATTAAACCTGCAAAAAAAAAAAGTCGTTATCGAAAGAACCTAATCGAAGCAAAAGGAGACAAGGTCATACTTTAAAGTCGAAATGGTGTACGTAATGTGGCAAATCAGACCAAAAAATGAAGTTGTCGACGTATCATCCTTATATGGTAAGTTGCTCTGTTTTCTTAAACATTCCTATTTTTCATTTTACCCTTGATTTATACTAAAATCCGCCAAATTTTGACTTTGTTATCATGTACAATTTTGACTTGTAGCTGGTGCACCCACATGGTTTAGTATTAAGCTTCATCATGGTGGGAAGTTTACTAAGTTACCTGACATAAAGTATACTGGAGGTGAAGTGCGTTATGTTGATTATGTGGACATAGATGAGTTTTCTGTACATGAACTTGATGCCATAATGCTTGACCTAGGTTACCCAGACCCACGGATGATTGAATTGAGTGTTGAATCCCCAGTGATATACTACCATTTCAGGATACCCAATGGTGACTTTCAATTTGGTCTTAGAGCTTTAGGGAATGATCAGGATGTTATCAATCTTTCTAAATTTATTCAAAATAACAAGTTGATTGAAGTGTACACAGAACATGGGAAGACAAATCTACTCACATACTTCATGTCTCCAAATGCAAAGGGTAAAGTTGTCATTGAGGAATTACCAGAAAATGATGATCAAGGGGCTAAATATGAGGCTGAAGTTCATGTAGAATCTCCATTGAGAAATATGAACCATGTCAATGATGAACCAATTGGTGAGTACATGTCTTTGATTCTTTTTGGGAGTAAAACTGATGCATTCTCTCCAGAGTATAGAAGGGGTAGAGTTGGGAATTCAAAAAGAGAGGAAGGTTCTTGTAGCAAGAGGCTTAATTTAGAGGATATTGATGATTTAAAAGAGAAGGAAAACACTAATGAGGATGAGATGATTGATGGATGCTACAACACCCCACCCATTAATGATGATGAACAATATAATGAACTTTTTGACAACCTTATGGAAAATTTAAATGGAAGTGATGAGTATGTTGAAGAGTATGAAGGGGATGTTGAATCTGAAGAGAGTGATGAAGAGTATGAAAAGGATGAAGGTGATGATCATGATGGGAAACAATCAGAAAATGAAGATAAAGTGGATGACATAATGGATGAGGAGAACAATATAGAAGATGTTGATGTGGACATGGCAGACTTCTTTGTAAATGTTGAAAGTGATGTTGAAGGAGCATGTATTAATGATGGTCATGAACCTGAAGATATGGAAGTGATCAACAATGAGGAGTTCGAATCATTGGATGAAGGATCAGACCAAGACAGAGAAAGAAGAGCTCTCATAAGAAATTTGGGAAAAGAAAAAAGGTGCAACTTTGGGTCAGTACATATACAGTCATTCTCAGTGGGGCAAAAGTTTAAAAGTAAAAAAGAATTAAAGGAGTTAATTGATGTGCACGCACTAGAAACAAGAAGGAATCTATTCTTTAAAAAAAATGACAGTCAAAGGCTTAGGGCACAGTGCAGAGGAGTTGTACCTGTCATCAATAAAGGTCAAGTGGGGACTAAACCTACCACTTCAAAAAGCAAGGGCAAAGAAGTAAAGACACAAAAAGAAACATGTGGTTGGTATATACATGCATCTAGGTCAAACCCCGAATCTGATTGGTTTATAAGGACCTTAAACCAAACTCATACATGCTTACAAACAAGAAAACTCAGAGCTTGTACTGCTTCTTTAATCTGCAAGAAAATCATAGATCAAGTTGAGGCAGATCCGAAGATTCCTTTGAGAGCCATACAAGATCACTTTCAAAAGACCTACCAGGTGGGTATTTCAATGGATAAGGTGTTTAGGGCAAAAGATATGGCAAGAAAGCATGTAACTGGGGACTACACAAAACAGTTTGAGTTGTTGAGGGACTATGCTCTTGAACTTCAAGCTACAAACCCAGACACAACAGTCAAAATAGATGTGTGTCCTAATGGCAACCCTGCATCCCCAACAAGGCAGTTTAGAAGGATTTATGTATGCTTGGGTCCACTGAAAAAAGGTTTCAAAGCATGTCTTAGAGACTTAGTAGGTTTGGATGGTGCCTTCATGAAAGGCCCATTCCCTGGTCAGGTTCTTACAGCAGTTGGTCTAGATTCCAACAATGGAATTTATCCCTTAGCCTATGCAATTGTTGAGTCTGAAAACACAGCTAGCTGGAAGTGGTTTTTAGAAAACCTTGGGGATGACTTGGAGCTTGGGAGCAACTCAAACTATACTTTCATAAGTGACAGGCAAAAGGTAAATTAAAACTCATCAATTGATCATTTAGATTGTGTTTTTTTACCAAGAAATTAATTCTAATTATTGTATGTTGAGTCATGTAGGGATTACAAATTGCAGTTGATCAATTGTTTCCCAATGCTGAGCATAGGTATTGTATTAGACATATTCATGACAATATGAGAAAGAAGTGGGGGCAAACTGAGTACAGGGACCATTTATGGAGGTGTGCATCAGCAACCACCATTCCTGAGTTTGAACATTTGATGAAAGAGTTTAGTGAGTATGATAAGGAGGCATGTCAATGGTTGAAGCAAATTCCTCCTGTAC